AAGAATGCTATCTGCTGTGGCTGATTCTGTTAATTTATTCCTACCTTCCCTGCTTCTGCTAAGGGTAGGAATTTATTGGAGGCTCTGTTTCACCTGAGCAAATCTTTTTTATTTTATTTTATTTTATTTTCTCTCTTGATAATGGCTCCCCAGACTCTCTTCCTGCTGTTACAGAAGATCCACAGATCCACTGTGGCTCTGCCTGCACTTCAAGCACTCAAGCTCAGAGATTTTTTTTTGCTTTAGCAGTACCCTACAGTGTGCCATAGTCCAACTATTCCTTGGCTTATGGTTCAGTTCTTAACTGACTTAGGTCAAGACAGTGCTTGTGCATTCTGCAGATGCCTGGAAGGTCTGCTTCTGAAAAGCTGCTGCTGTTATTGCCTTTCTACCTCCCTTTCCTTCTAATTTTTTTTTTTTTAAGAAAGAAAAGAAAAACAAAAAGGTTCTGTTTTGTTTTGTTTCTGTTTTACTCCCCTCTATTTCCCCCTTTTTCCAGGCCTTGGCATTTGTCTAGTCTTAGATCCCCACTTTTTCTGTCCATGCCAGATTCAATGCAAGACTTTCATTCTGACAGGAAGCAGTCTTATTTGTGCTGCTGTGTCCACACCATACCTCTTTAATTTAATTGGCACAATTAAAGTGGTACAACTTGGGTTTGCAGACAAGGTCTGAGAGTTGCAGATGATCAGTACCTGTTCTGGTCAAATCACTCGTGCAAAAAGTAATAGTCATGTACAATAATTATCCAAAGCATTGCTGCTTAGAATTGTCACAGCCTCTTATGGGCTGTTGAAGGAACTTACAAATATACAGTAACATCTTAACATCTATTGCAAAGTACATATAGTTGTGCATACAGACAGGATTTCTTTTTAAATAGTTAAATCGACCTTTCTTCCTATAACTTGTGACATACTTTTGGAATGCATTGTCCAAAACACTTCAGGGAGTGTCTGTCTATTTTTGCTATGGCCTATTATTTGCATTGGAGTAACGACTATGATCCTTTGTTATGGAGAAGGACCATATTATGTTTGGTACTGTACAAACAAAGCAGAGGAAGTAATTCCTTTCCTCAAGCAACTTACAGTCTAAGTAAAGAGTTTACCATGAGCCTTTTTGAGTATGAACACTTTACAGTAGGAACCAACATTTCCTCTGAAAAAGCAGTGCTTAGATGCTAGCATGTCCTTTGCTTATTTGAATCCTTGGGTTTTGATTCTTTTTCAAGGTCCTTTTTTCTTTCTTTTTCCATTTTCAGATTGACCTGGTGAACACTATTGGTGAAAGTGCTGCCTTGGGAGCGGCAGGGGTTGTTCTTTGGGGAAGCATGCAATATGCCAGCTCACAGGTAAGTGGGTTTGGTTTACTAGTGTTCAGTAATAAAGTGCTCTGTCCTTGACAAAATCCTCATGATTTTTTACCCCACCCATCCCCAATTCTATCATTTTTTTTACCCCTTACCCTCAAGGTCCACCATGTGGAGGTGACTGCTTGCAATTCCTTTCAGGGTTTGTTAATGCCATATTGTCATTATCCAGAGAAGTCTCTTTCCTGCACTTCTGTCCAGAGATCACTTCCAGGAATCAAACGCTGATGTTGCCCATGGTAACACATAACACTAATACAAAGTTAAAAGAAAGATACAGCTGCCTGTCAGTGTTTCAAAATGTTATGCTATCCATTTTACAATGTTCTGTTTGCATGGTATTTTTGTCAGTCTAGTAACAAGCCAAAAGTGTGTTTCTTTTGGCAGAGGTGAATCAGACTTTTCACAGGTCAGTGATACAGTTTCTTCAATTTTGTAGCAAAGTCACAGGTTGAATACAGTGACAATGAACGTGCACATAACTACAGGCATTGAGGCACCAAATGTCTGGACTCAGTTTTTGGCCTTTGGATTCTGTCTCAATGATCTAAAGCAGTGGTTCCCAACCTTTTTTGATCGCAGACCAGCAAACCATGGACCGGAAGTGACCGGCATACTGTGGGCTGGCAGCCAACCCTTTTTTATACTCGGTATAAAAAAGGGGTTGGCTGCCAGCCTGCAGTATGCCGGTCACTTCCAGTCTGCAGCTTGCCGGTCCACGGTTTACCGGTCCACGGTCACTTCTGGACCGGCAGCCAACCCTCCTGCGGATCAGCACTGGGTCATGGCCTGGGGGTTGGGAACCTCTAGTCTAAAGGGAGGATGCAAGGTGTGGGAAGCCTCCACTTCTCCATACTTCTGTCTGTGCATACCTGTTGAAGGCCTGGGGGACCTCTTGCATACAATATGATCCAGAAGAACTGATGGCTGCCTACTACTATACAAGAAAAGTTCTGGTTCTTTTCCCAAGGCCTTGGGACTACTCTGAAATAGTTTTATGGCTCTTCCCTTCTGGAATTATAGAGGGTGACAGGAGGATACCCTGTCTATGTAGGCATCTGCTCAGCCAGCACTCGCCTCTTTGAGGCAGAGGACAATCTCATTCTCTCTTAAGAGGCTTGAGGAATGTAGGAAACAGCAATTTCTACAGAATCTTATGCTACTTCTATTGGAGTCAATCAATGGGAGTTCTGCCACTGACTCATTGGAGGCTGATGGTGCCCTGAACGAATTTGGGACCTGATTCGTAGTATGAGAATGCACTCAAAAGCTATTTTATCTGGTGTCTGCAACTTCACCATGAATTACTGAAATTTTCAATCTGTTATTAATTCGAAGGGGTTATGGTAATCAGCATGGGAACTGCTGGTACTAAATTGCCAATACTAAAGTGAGTCAGTATATGGTTTTTAAACTCCCTTTAATTTTAAATTGTTCCTTTACAGCAACCTTTATGTTTGCTTTTGGGGGTTTGTTTTTTTGTTAGTAAATTCAACCTGTTGTTACCAGGTACGCAAAACAAACAAACAAAAAGATTATAATGGATGCCAACCTCTTGCTTTCATGTTAATAATCTACTAAAATAATGAAATTTGGATGTAATGCTAGCTATTGAGTAACATGGCTTTTGATTTCCTGCAGGAGAGCTGTTCAACTGTGAAAAGATACATAGATGGTCCCTTAGGACACTATGTCATTAATGTGACCGCAGCTGCCAAACTCTGCAGTAAAGTTCTGTGCAAGAAAAATGGAAGATGTATCCGTAAGAACAGTGAATCTTCTGCTTATCTACACTTGTCATCCAACAGTTTTAAGATCAGAGTCCACTATTCTGAAAAAGGTCCAAGATTTGTAGTCACTGGTAAACCTGGACCTGAAGACATAGAAGCTATGAAGCAGAGATTCATGTGCCAATGTTACCAAGGCTGGACTGGGATATTTTGTGAACTACCCAATCAGAAGTTACTTGGCCATTTAGCTCAAGTAGCTAACTTCTTCTTACTTGGAGCTATGCAGATTTTTCTGCTTTTCATTGCACTCTAATATTTTCTGAAACAAGACAAGGAAGCAAGAAACAGTGTAGCTGAGGTCTCTTTCCTTTCCTGAGATGGGAAATGCTATTCAGATTGTTGTTATATCATCTTCCTTCTGTTTCATTCAAATCCCAGTGGGACTGCACCACATGTTAAGCAGGTTTCTACTACAGCTCTCTCCTAATTGGACTAGTGTGGCCCCTAGTTTTTCCAGTTAAAACTCCCGCTGATCCAACTAATGTATTGAGAAAAGCTGGGTCTGGACTTTAGGATATGGCCCTATAGGAGCAGAAAAGAAGAATAAAATAACCATTCATTTTAGAGGATGGACAAATTGGATGTCATGGCTTGTATAGCAGCTTCTACAGATGGGGTCTGAAAGGTTCAGGGAATTGTGCATAGTATTATAAATGTATTTTTAAATGTGTGCCCAGCAGATTTTCTCAGGCTGTTTGGGCTGACATGTTAGTACAGTAACGATTAACATTTTCCGTAATTATTTGTCCTGTTGATTTGCCAGTTACTATTTTACTTGAATGTTATTGTCTGTAACTTCCATTGATCAATTCAACTTTTTCTAATAAAAAAAAATCCCTACTGCTTAGCACTCTACAAATTCCTAGTGATGAGGAAATTCTTCTCACTTTCCTTTTTTCCCCCCAGCTGCTTGAAAAAGGGGAAAGCTTACTCCCTTCCCTCCTCATTACTGCTGGAAACCTTTACTGTCTCTGTACTTCTTCCAGAGAGGATGATGTGTTATGTGCTCTTCAGTGCCTCCCCTTTCTTTTTTCTCATGCACATGTATTTGGTAGGGCAGTTCTGTGACTGCTACTCCACTTGCTCATCACTGCATGAGGGATTGATGCAGCCCAACCTCACCACACTGCTCCAAACATATTGGACCCCACCATGCTGCATTGAGTCCTACCCTGCCCCATCACTGCCCCCAGGAATCCACTACACCCTGCACAGGCATGCCCCCATCATGCCCCAGCCCTCCCCGCCTCTCATCCCCCTCAAACCACAATGAGCCCTCCCCTGAACCGAATGAAGAGATTATCAGGTATCAAGCAGATAATAATGAGCCATAAAGTCAATTGACTCCCACAGCTCTACCTGAATACAATTGCAGCTGCCCCTGCTGGGCAATTTGTTTTAAAATTTCAGTGGAGCAAGAATCAAAGTGTGGTGAGACCGTACCCCCCACCCTCCCCACCACAACCTCTGGGATCTGCCACTGGACTCTCTCAAATCCTAGATCCACTTGTTTTCCCTGTTATAAAAAGGAGAGAGAACATGAAGTATCCCACCTTCCAGCACTATCATAGGACCCCCAAGATGCTCTCATGTCACCCCTTGTAGCTTAATCCCCTTTCAATGGAAATAGTGTAAATAATTGCTGATTAGTTTAACATCTATGAAATGCTACAGCACCCTGGTCTTACCTTTAAAATATTCATTTGTGGATGAATCTCCATGGTTGTGGAGCTGGTGATGGGAGATGAGTCTCCCAGCCCCCTGCTCCTCAATTGTGATGGCAGAGCATGGGTTGGGAGATAATGATCTCCCAGGCCCCGCTCCCCATTGTGATCTTGGAGAATGGGGCTTAGAGGTCCTGCCTGGGCTTCTGTGGCGGAGCCCACCCTGGCAGCAGGAAGCTCCAGGGGACAGGGAGCTATCTCCCGCGTCCTGGTGGATGGCTGACTGGGAGCAGATTTTGCTCCCAGTCAGGTATCTACAGGAGCACTACCGGGCCATTACTAATCTTGAGTAAATTTGCTACTTGCATTTGCAGGTAGTAAATTTACTTGGGATTAGGGAAGTTTACTGCATAGTAAGCATGTTCACGTGTAGACATGCATGCTTACTTCTCAGTAAACTATGCTAATGCGCAGTTAAGGGTCTTGTGTAGATGCATCAACTGGTTAGCATCTTACTGCAAGGACAGTTCCATCAGAATCAGTGAGACTGCCTTGAAGGGGAAGATGCTAGTCCAACTGAATAAGAGTGGCAGAATCTGGCCCTCTCCCAGGGCCTGTGCTTGATGTTGGGTAAAATTGTGCTCAAGGAAAACATGTTACCTAAAACATTAATCTGCATTTGTTCAAATACAATTGTTCTGAGAGTTTGATTGTTTGACTTATTTCTGTTTTTACTACATCCTGTTATGTTTTCTCAAAGCATCAATTTTGTGACATCAGCAGAAAAAGAAATTAAAGATATGGGTCATACTTATAGCTGGTATAAGCTGTTATACTGAGTCACACTAACTAAGGATCTAGCTCATAACAGGACTGCAGTGAGTATTTAAGACTGAGAGAGGTAGTTAGCCATGTTTGACTGGTCAGGCAGAATGCAGGCTAGATACACACTTTATAGAGTAACTCAAGTTCACAAGACCTTGTGCTGTCTCTCTCTATATCTCTTATTTAGTTCGCCTATAAGGTGCATATTTTCAGGCTGCAATAGCCAATTTAAACCAATACACTTAAGTGGAACTGACTTCAGTTAAATAGAATTTAGTGTTCTGACTCACCACTGTAATGACAAGTTGTGCTCAAAGGCAACAGTAAAGGTTTGCTTCTCAACTTTTACTATATACCAGACAACTGGAATGGAGGAGGGCACATGTGAAGGTAAAAATCTTTTTTTCCCATTTATAATTAAAAGAAAAAACCTTTCAGAACTGTCTTGTGGGATCGAGTTAGAAGTCTTTACATTGTTTCATTTTCTTATATACTCTGTTTTAGTTCTTGTTTCTGTTCTGTGCTCAGAACTTCCGTGAAGTTAAAGTAAAGTTAATCATGCCTTACTTAAAATACTGTCCATTGAAAACTATTAGCTTCTTTTTTAAATTAAGAGTATATCATCAGTCATGGGTTTGCTTTTAGACTTGACATTTTTACATTGTAAAACACCAACCTAACTTGTTTTCCTGGAGTAGTGGGAAAAAATATAATTGTTATATTTTAAGTGTCACTTAAATTACAGTGTTCATTTCAACAGATTTTGTTTTATGTGATAAAGTGTTTCTTCTGTTTATACAAGTTTATAAGAACAAAATACTTAACAAAACATATGCAAAAATTATTTGGTAACATAAACAAGAATAGATTAGAGCTAACATGCAATCTGCAATGGAAAGTGTGTTGGATAATTTACATAAAGTTTATATAAAATTAAGAGGTCAGGTCTTTACCCAGGCAAAATATTTACTTTAGTCAGTGAGCCAGATCCTTGGTTGATGTAAATTGACTTAACTCCACTGAAATTCATGGAGACATGTCAATATGCAACAGGTGCAGTTTGGTCCTATCTCCCTTTTCTTCTCAACTTTTTTCCATTGGTGTAAATCACTGAAGTTACATTTGTTTTACATCAGGTTAAGAAGGAGCAGAATTAGGCTCACTGTAAGTTGTGCCTGGATGTAAAGATCTTTAGGATTTGGCCATTAGAATGATAGGAAGTACGGTGAGTGAAGTTCTGCTGTGTCTCACCTAGCTGATTTCTGTGGGTTTCTGCAGACAAAATATGGCCTGGAATTTTTGACTTAGCAACAATATCATTTAGTGGAATTGAACATATAAATGAATGTAACAGACAGATCTGAAGCATATACTTCCTTTTGTAAGGGAGTATTTTATCACAGGAAAGAAAATAAGTTTTTTTATAGTTCTCTTTTACTATATTCAATTTTTATAGTTCTCTTTTACTATATACATGAATCCCTAAGAGGCAATAGAGCACTGGAAGCATAACTGTATATATTTTTTATAAAAAGCTGTAACTATAATGTGGTCTATTATATGGAATTTAGCTACCACGCTTTCTAGGGGTGACCACAGAACTGCAGTTTCATGAGATGCTCATCCTGGTGGTCTGGTGCACAGTGCAACTGCACAGGTAGCATTGCCCTTTAGGGGCAGCCAGTCAATTCCCGTATAAAGGGCCGATCTGGAGGGACCTGGAGTAACTGTCCCACCTTCTCCTGTCAGTCCTTTTCTGGGGAGCTGTTTGCCCACAGATACATTCTGAGGGAGCAGTTACTGCCCTTCAAGTGGAGGTTCACAACCGTGACTTATATTTTTTATACTTGCCTGCCTGTCACAACCTAGCTTTTGGTGGTTTTGGTTACAAGTATCTATATACTTTTATCTCTGATGCCTATTAAATGCATGCTAGAGTGTCAAAAGGCACAGAAGAACTGATTCAATATAAACCTAGGTTTAAAACCTAACCCATGCTCAGACTGAATTCTCTTTGAAGTTTGAGGATGGTGAATTAATGTTTTGCCCTTTTTTCATATAGCTCTACCCTTGATGATTTTGGCTGGGTGTAGAGGCAAAATAGCTTTTCTTGCAGCAGTCCAACCTGCTAGAGGGTGTCTCTCACAGTTTATATTATTTCATTGTCACCACAAGGCGACTGCAGCTAGTGCATTAGCCCTCATATACCACCTCACTGATTTGTTTTTACAGAATTGCACCTCTGCTTTCTTGCTGTACTTCTGATCGAATTCGAGTTTGGGTGCTACTATAGTACAAATACTAAACAGAAGGCAGTGAAAATTTCACAAGCCAATCCAATTGCAGCATGCATTGCAGCATTCATCTCAGGGTAACAGTGGGCCTTACTATGTGGTATAACATAAATAAGTTAGGCAAAGAATATATCAAGATTTCATATCACAGATTTCTCCTGAAACAGTAAAGTGTACTGCAAAATCTTGACATATCAACAGAAGGCTAGCATCACTATTGCAAACACAATTACAGTTACACATATTTGATCTCTTTGTATATGTCCATTTTAGCTGGATGAATTTTCTAGATCAGAAAAATTAGAAAAAAAAATATGTCTTTCCCCTATTTTTCACTGCATTTAAGTGCAGGACTGAAGCCAGAAGAGTATTTGCTCTACAGTCTTATGCTTTTAAGTTGGTGAGTTTTTTTCTTTCACAGCCTCTTGAATAGTCTTCTATCTTCTTCATGACCTCAAAATCCATAATGGAATAAAACTACTCTACCATTCATGGATATAAAGGGCCAGGCCATATTTTACACAATTTGCAGGGCCACTATTTGCACACCTTGTGCATCTGAAACTCCCACTGAGGGTGATGAAGTGACAGAAGGGATACATTTGTTCTTCTATGGTCTTTTTGCAGTCCTGGAAACTCCCTCTCTTCCAGGTGAAATTTACTTCCAAGTCTTAACATTTGAATTATTATTAGGGTTATGTGACATGTATGAAATGCGCAGTTCTTTCAGCCCACTACTGTTGGTTGTCTGCTCAGAGAAACTAATGAATGCTCAGTTGGTAGTGGAGCTGCAAGAGCAAGAAAGTTTAAAATGGTCTATTAAGTCTTTTTTGAGCTCCAAGTCTTAACAATATCCCAGTGAGTAGAGCTGACCAGTTTGTTGTTTGAATTTAATAGTGGGATCATTTTTTATATTGCATGACCTTTCCTCTCCTTTGAGTCATTCCATTGTCAGTGAAAAATGTGGAGTATTGGAAAAAAGAGGGATTCAAGTAGGGTGAGAAAAAAAAATCTTAAGTAAGTATATTTCAGAATAAAGTCAAATGAATCAGATTAATTAATCATGAAATGTCCTGGCAGATAAACAATGTTTGTATAAAATATTAACTGTATTTCAAATAACAATGTTAACAGTGGACTGATTTTTTCCATAGCACTTGATTATTTAGGGTGTAAATTTGAATTGCTTTGCAAAAATATTGATTGAGACTATATATATATATATATATATATATATATATATATATAAAAAATATGAGACTCTCTCTCTCTATATATATATATATAAATGTGTTTTGGCTTCAGAACTCTGATGTTGTGAAGATGCAGCCACAGCCAGCTCATTTTTGTTTACATTACAGGAAAAGTTGTTTCCTGTCAATCTGTGCCAGACTCAGAGTGGGAGTTTTTGCAACTACAGGTTACACTAAAAATACATTGGAAATGATAGCTCTTCACATTCTGAAGAATGACACAGCCTCTGGAAAAAAAATAGAATCTTGAAGGCAAAAGTCCAGTCCTCTTCAAAAACCCAGTGTCAAGGATTGTTTAATAAGATTAAATGCAATGGATTATTTTAAAGAAAGAAGTAGCAACACTGTCAACTTTACACATGCTGCAATAACTCCTTTCAATAGCTTTTGGAGATGATGTTAGGAAGGAGTGGGAACCTCCAGGTGCTGCTTTCTTACAACTTAGAAATAAGTTTGTTTTGTGTAATGAAAACTTCTGTTCTCAATTTGCCACTGGCTGATTTGACTGTAGTTTAATGTTACTGAACATGATGCAGTGTTTCTTGGTTCAGTAGCTATATTATTAAAATAGCAATAAGCAAACAGTAGAGATTATCTGTCTATTTAACTTTGACCTAGAAGAAGCAAAGCATTTGACACAGAAGCTATACTTTTTTTTTTTTTAATCTCATTGAAATAAAACTATGGGCACTTACATAACCTCATACCTTGGCATTTGTGGTTTGTGTTCAGACTTAAATTATATGAATCATGTAACTGGGTTTATATAGGAGGCTAAGAGCACCTAGCAATCTAAGCATATGCAGAAAGGGGTGGTATTTTAAATCATAATGTTATAGTGCTCTCTAATATTGATTTTGTTTTAATAAGCATGTTTAAAAGTAACTTTTTTGATTTTTTTTCTTCCTTGGGCAATGTGTAACCACAGTTGTGGGCTATTTCAGAAAGAGACCCATACATATTTGAAGAATCTCTCTTTCTTTTCACAAAATGGGAGTTTTGCCTTTATTTGAGGTTAAGTGAAAAAACAGAATTACAGTACCTCGTAGTGCTCCGTTGGGCGGAAGACACAGTTTATACCTGGTTTTGAATATATGGGATTAAAACTTTGCCCTCTCTCCTCCCCACGCTCCCCCGCACCCCCAAAGAGATTTTTAGGACAATCTATTATCACCAGATTTAAAATAGTTTAAAATAGATTAGTACATTGATCAGGACTCAGTTCTTCTCTGTTCTTCTACACATATTTTTGCCTTCTCTTTTTGTGATCCAATCAGGACATTTGTGCTATACAACTCCCCCATGTTGTCAAACCATTTTTGCAATGCACTTATTTGCACAATGGTTTGACAGGTCCTTGTCTTATTTCTAATGTTCAGTTCCCACAATTTGGGTGACCTTCTTCTGTTCTGCAGATATGTCCTCTTCCTTGGATCTCTTGAGCGCACTTAACACCTACCTTCCATCCCTGCAGCAGCAGAATATTGACAGTGCTCTCATCCCCCAGCTTTACCTGTGGCAATCTTGAATGTTTTTGACATTTCAGGCACTGTGCCTGATATTTTTATAAGAAGGTTGTTTGCAAAGTCTTAAAGTTTGCAAACACATGTCTAGGATGGTGAAAAGGATAATCCTGCCTTGAGCAGGGTGCTAGATTTCCTGAGGTCCTTTCCAGCCTTACTTTTCTATTATATATTCCCCACAATAATTAAATAAGGCTAATGAAAAGTTCTGCACAAATCTGAGGTATATACCAGAAGTTTAAGGGTTTAAAAGAACAATAACTTTGCTTCCTATAAGCCACCAGCATTTTTGGAGTTTTTTCAGCTTAGAATAACTGCCC